AAAGCACAGCATTACAGGTATTTCAAATCCTCTGTAAGTACATGAGTGGCACAAGCTACTATCTAGCCTACCCTGGCTGATTTCAATATAATGAGTGTGCTTGAGACTGTACCAGTCATATCACAAAGGAGAATTCAGACATATGCTGTGAATGAAAATACTCTAAAGTCCTCATTATCTCACTGTAAAAGTGCAGTAATAACCCTGAATACCTCTATATTTATAATAGACAAATTGAAGCATAAAATCTTGCTCATAATTCTCAGACAGTAATGAAGAATGAAATGTAAATATTTATTGCAATCTATTTATTTTCAAAAAATATAACAAATAACCAGATAGTTAAAATGAGTTTTATATGATGTTCCAAAATTCAGCATAATTTCGCATTATTTTCCAACAACCCTTGCCTGACAGCTGTCTGTCTTTTTCTCTCTGCCTCTCTCTATCCTTCTAAAAATATTGCAGCAGAATAGCTGAGAAGAAAATGCTTTAAATCTGGGTTTGAAAACAATACTGTTCAAATAAAAGTAGAGTCTCTTCATTCAGTTCTACTGGAAAACACCATTTCTTCATTTTTTGTTTGCTGCAAAATGCAATACCTGAAGGTTATAATTTTTCCCAAAGATTATCATTTTAGTTAGCTTTACTGTTGCAAAAGGAGTATCTGAAGTGAGGTAATATAATAATCAGCTGTTTTTAAAAAAACACAAACCAATAACATAAATTAAATAACAGGATAATAAAAATTCCCTTCTAGTCTACGGCAATAAAAATGGAATCAAGTAACAATTTGCTGTCCCTTCCTGTGACCGAAATCTACCATCTAAAGGAGCAGCCTCACTCTGTTTATGGAAAAGCCAGTCCTGCATAAGACAAACCAGATTAACTTGACACTTTTGCAGATATATAGAAGCCTTATCTCCAAACATAGAATGATAAGGACATACAGGTTCTTTGAGGAACTATTATTTTTAATTTGCATCTCTTAAACCTAGTCAAATGAAGGGTATGATATAAAATTACTGTAACTGCAAAAGAAACCATTCTATTTAGTTGCACAAAAATAATATATTGAACTGATAATAGATTCATTCACCAAAACTAATAAGTATGGCTTACCCATGATTGTTATACTAGAAAACACAGCAAACCACCAGGTGGTTCTTTTCCAATTTAGAAAAAAAAAATGCAAAAGCTATCATGACCAGGATAGCAGAAGACTGACTAGCCCAACCTGTTGTGATTGTTTAAAAAACTCTATATCCAAGGAGGGTGGCTGGAAAACAACTGAAAGGAGTTAAGTGGTTCCCATAGAAAACAAATGGCATCTTTTTCATTTTATCTTGCTGTGGTTGAAACTGGGAACTGTTGTATGAAAAGCACCTGCTTTCTTATAGGGCTGTAGCCTTTCCCAAGGTTTTTAGAGTCACAGCATGTTTCGTGTTTCATTGTTTATTATAGTTTTCTTTAATAACTGGCATATATGTAAAAAAAATAGCAATGCTACTAAAGTTCAGTAAATAAATGTTAAAATGATCGTTTTTATTAACAACATAATTTATTTTTCAGAATGGCATAACACTGTCTGAAGGCAATGTACTACAATACATCATATATTACATAACACAACTCTTTCCAGTGTTACAGGACATGGATCAAAGACATGTCAGGCAATGTAGATTATGAGAGGAGAATATTGGCTAGAAGTAATACTTTCAATATAATTGGGATAACCACAGCTGTTTAACATTGGTTAAGCATTATAAATCATTGGCACTAATACACATTACTTGAGTCACTGTAGCTGATTATACTGACACATACGTTTCCAGGGGAATTTGCTGTGACGTAGATTCCTTCTCCTTATAATTACAATTATATTGTAATATATGATGTATTGTAGTACATTGACTTCAGACAGTGTTATGCCATTTTGAAAAATAAATTATGTTGTTAATAAAAATGATCGTTTTAACATTTATTTACTGAACTTTAGTAGCATTGCTATTTTTTTTTACATCTATGCCAGTTATTAAAGAAAACTATAATAAACAATGAAATACGAAACATGCTGTGACTCTAAAAACTCAATGTCCCATGATGATAATCACATCTGGAAAGTTTACCTTTTGTGGAAACACTTCTCACCATGTGTTCTTAAAGTCTCACACCCTGAAATCACATCCTGGCATATCTTTCATATCTTTTACCTATAATTGATATGAGAGCTATAGATCTGACACACATAAACACATCAGTAACTTTGGGTGCAAATAAGCTAGGCACCAGATGGGGATTCCAATGTTAATCTCTGACAAACTGTACTAATTGTGTATAGCTAGCAAAATTGGAAATAATGAACTAAGTTTTATTAGATTCATAAAGATTTTGAAAACAGATTATAGTTACTGAACCAGCATATACAGCAATAGCACTATCCATATGATAAGATTAAGCACTGTAAGATTTCTTCTTTGCAGATGAAATCATAAGGAGTCCAGTATCGCCTTTACAACTAATTCATTTTATTTAAAATAAGGCATAGGCTTTTGTGAGCTGCAGCTCTCTTCATCAGATGCACTGTAGATATAGAGCAGGCAGAGTGATAGATAAACAGGGGATACAGATTAAATCCTTGATTTTCTGTCTTCACCCTGTTGCCCCTTTATAGTCAGTACAGTAGGTCATGAAGTGCTGAAGAGTCAGTAGCATTGGATTTAGATCTCTAAGACACATGAAATATTGCTACTGAGGAAGACATAGATTTCTAGTAGTTCTATTATACATGGGGTTTCTATGTATACTCTGTTCAGAATTTATACATTTACAGATTATGTAAACATCTGTAAGGGGCATGAAGCACACTCAACATCCTTAGTCCTGCACTTAGTCCAGTCTGGACAGTTTGAACAGTGGGTTCTGAAAAGAAGTCCTATTCCTGTTCCTTCCATACAACTCAGAAAAAGAAAAAGAAAAAGAAAAAGAA